CAATCTTTCCCAGCCACCCAGACAAGTGAGGAACTCTTTCCTCTGCGTGTCCACAGATGTTTGCTGTGAGTGTAGTACAATAATCTGTCACATCTCCTGGGACCCCTAGTTGTACGAACCTGTCTCCAGCAGACTGAAATTCCTCCAGATGGAGGTCTTTGTATTCATCATTATAGCCCCAGTGCATGAAACGTAAGAGGCCCCTAAGCAATGATTTTGGAGATGATGAATGAATGGTGAATAGATGAATAAGTGAGCAAGTAAATGCCTGCGTATTAAGAAAGAACCAGTGCTGTGCCATTCCCTGTAGAGGCTGCATTGGTGCTAGAATTTCAAAATAGAATTTTTTAAAAAACTTAACTCTCAATTACTAAGAAAATGCCATTTTTTCATCTTAACATTCTTCTTTCCTACTCTAACTATCCTTTTTGCCTTGTTTTCACAAAGAGCACATCATTTCCTTTTTGCACCCACATTTTCCTTTGAGGCTCGCCCACATGCTAAGATCAAATACTTCACTTCTAAATGCTGTGAGTAACGAGCTCCTTGATCAGGGAAATGACTCTCTAGTCCTCCGATGCTCAGCAGCCCCGCCTAGCTTTGATATTACAGCTCCAATCAAAACTGTTTGGCATCAAATATAAAATGTTTTCATTAAACACTATTATATCATTATGTGAGTGTTTCATAAACCAATCCGAAACAGGTTTAACATTTCTTAATTTTCCTCAGGTGTTTAAAAACACAAGCAAACCAGAGAGAAATCTAGCGAAACAGTTGCATGCAGATTTCCCCCAGGTGTGGTAGGTTTGACCCTCCACTCACCATGCAGTTTGTTATTTCTGGAGTTCTGCAAAGGAAAGGGAAAGGCCAGTTCCACAAGAATAATAATTAGCCAAATATTAATTCAACAAGCTTGTAAATTTCCTGAGATTCACACAGATTTTCTTGACTTTTTGTGATACCCATGTGTTCCTTCTACCTGCTCCTCCATGACCACAGGTACATTGTGGTGGTTGTATCTCTGTGTCTCTCCCAAAAAGCCTCGGGCACTTATCGGTGGGGCTTTTCAGACATGGTTGGCCCTAGGATGAGTGAATACAGATTATAGGTGTTTGATAACTCCGGATTAGTCCACTGATTGGTTCAGCGTGGTTCTGGGTATGGATAATGAGAAGGCCTACCCTATTGTGGGTGGCAGCTTATTTGTTTATTGCTCTTTTCTTCATTGCATGGTAGACAAGAGAAAGAATTCAAAGTACAGGGCACCAAGACAAAAATGAACATCTCCTGTGAATGGGTTAAAAAGGGAAGAAAGGCTCTCTGCTTTGCTGATTCCTGCCTGTCCCCCCATGGACTCTTTCTCATCTGCCGTGTCCCTCTCTGCCATGCCACCCTGCCTTGGAGCCAGCCAACTACAGACTGAAACCTCTACATACTGTGAGGTAAAAATAAACCTTTCTTCCTTTAACATGTGGGTGTCAGGTATTTTGTCTCAGCAATGAGAAAATAACGAAGACACATCTGGGAAGGGACCATAGCCCAAAGTATGCAGCTCCAACTTCTTATTGCTCTCCCCAGCAATGTGAGCTCTGTGCCTGTTTCTAGATTTTGCGGAAGGAACTGTGGGTTGGAACACACCTGTAATCACTATTCCTTAGCCTCATGTTTGTTAACTTTGCTAGCATTAATCACACAAGAGCAATGTATTATCATTATAAAATCCTAGTTGCCAACACATTTTACTGGAGTTTTCAGTTTTTGTTCTGCTTAACCAGTAATACTAATAAGCTAAGCCACATTCAGCTCTTATTAAGACTAAGGTTTTGAAAATACAAAATCACAACCTTGGATACAGTTGCATCAGCTCTGAGAGAGACAAGGGGGGAGAGGGAGTGTGTGTTGGATCATCATGGTTTCAACAGATGGCTTTGTTGACTTTTTACTCCTAAACAGAACTAATATCAACGTAAGGGAAGTATTATGGGCTTCTTAGGAAAAGGTACTGTGTAAATATAGTGATTTTGCCTCATTATCTTGGCTTAGCCTGGAAAATTGGAAGCTAAAGCGGCATATTAACCTATCTCATTAACGAGGACACTGGGTATTTTCTCAGAAGCCGTGTACCTGTCTTCCCAGCCTCAGTAAATAGTAGGCTTGTGACCCTATCCTGGCCACGGTATTAAGGGGGAAATCTTCTAGGAGGCATATTGTTGGAAAACTTTTCAAGAAAAGGTGTGTGTGTGTGTGTGTGTGTGTGTGTGCGTGCGTGCGTGTGTGTGCGGGGGGGGGAGAGAGAGAGAGAGAGAGAGAGAGAGAGATCTACTGGGAGAAATTCTTTTTCTGGTTTCCTCTGGATTTTGCTGTGTGAGGACATTATGCCCAGCCAAAGATGGCTGAAGTAGTCATCTTGCACGCATAGGGGAGGCATAAAGAATCACACAAAGCCAATTTAGAGCCCTAACAACCTTGTTACTGTGTTAACTACCCTTAGCAAATAGACTTATTTCTTAAGCCACTTCTAGTTTCGTATTTTGCCTACTTCCAATTCACTGCGATAGAACATGGCATTACAAAAATAGCCCTGTGGCACATGGCAGGGGATCTGTTTTCAGCTGAAGTTTTCAGTTTTTGTTCCCCCAAACAAAGATGTTTATTGCTCTTTTATATGCCTCTTCATGGCATAGTAGACAAGAGAAAGAGTACAAAAAACAGGGCACCAAGACCAAATCAAATCTAGCACTGGATTGGAAAGACAGGTAAGTGTCTTCCATCAGGAAGTAAACTGGAAAGAATCAAATTCCCCTTGCAACTGAGAAAGGTTATATTTAAAGGGAACTCTAAGGACATAGGAGAATAGACAAAGACTAAGGATGATGAAAATGATAAGGATCCAGAAGCAAGCAAGTGACAGTCAGTGAGACTGGAGTGGGATACAAATTAGGAGAATCTGGAAAAAGAGGTAAACCTAAGTTCTGGCTGGACTATTGTCTTTTCTCAGCTCAGATCTATAGATTTCAGGGATTTTTCTGCTTTTTGCTTTTCTTTAGAGACCTGGACATACTGGCATAGGTCATATCAGGTCTGCTTCAATTCTTGAAATAAATATTATAGTGCATTTCAGAAAACATTTCTATCAAGCTAATCATATCTCTGGGGTTATTGCCATTTAGATGTTGATGAAGCATTTTTTTTTTTAAGCTGGTGGTATACTGGCTACCTCCAAAGTTGGTTAAACAGGCGCAGTCAGGAAAGGGAAGAGAGCTCCATCTGTCCGTTCTGGCAGCTCTGAGCGAGAGATCCAGTATGAGGCAATCTGTCACATCCCAGCTATACTTGTTCTGTGGTAGTTTTAAGATGGCCCAAGATGCTGTGATAAGCAGCTGTCCACTAACGGGGGCTCCGTGGCCATGAAGCAACTAGAATTAGCACACTTCAGCAGAAAGAAAGATGAATTCTTTGGTGTGGCCTACCTCCTTCTCCATGTTCACACACTAGTATTTCTTTAAGGAACTTCAATCTCCTTAATAGGTAGCTAATCATAATGCTTTGCAAAGGACTATGTTAAAAAAAAATTTCAGAACCATGAATGAATGCATACAAGTATCCTCATAAAACTAAAGCCCATGTGAAATCTAGCTGTCCATACCCATCAGGGACTAGAGAGCATTCCCACGAGTTTCCGCTTCCTTTTTAGGGCTAAATGCGGAATCAGGAATTCCAGTCCATATCATCTGATTGTGATCAAGGGAAGAGATTTTTGGCTACCCTTTCAACATTCAAAGAATGCAATGTCATTCCCCTGGTAATACAAAATTCTCCGTGAGTTGTAGCGTCCCAAAGGAGATGTAAATGTTTTGCCTCGGGTGAAAATGAATTTCCATGGAAAATATGACACAAATACCTTTTGTGTCTCAGATGAATCAGACTTTACACTGGAAGGACTTTTCTCATTAAAATTGTACTTTGGGTGAGTGGCTCTTAAAGGACTTTTAGGGATTCTAATGGCCTTCTAAGGCCTTCCCAGGACTCCATGACCTGTACTGTTTCATTCTAGTGTGTACAAGAGGCAATGTGGAGCAGAAGCAAGATCATGGAGTCAGATCTGGTGTTAAATGTATATCCTGCTTGTTATACTTTGTATTTAGTTGTCGCCTTGAAGCCTCGTGTGGTCATAGGTGGGGCTTTTTCAGAGGTGGCTGGATCTAGAGTGTGTGATTGATTCATGGGACAACGCTGAGATCAAGGGCACTAGGATTAAGGGTGCGAGTGCTACCTGCCCTAAGTAGCCTGGATAAGATAAAAGGGATAGGACGAGCTGTGGTTGCCCCTTGTTGCTTTGCGACCTTTTGACTGCCATAAACTGTGTCTCCTCTGCGATGCCTGTCAGCCATGCCACCCTGCCTTGGAGCCAGCCAGTTATGGACTGAAAACTCTACAAACTGTGAGCTAAATAAACCTTTCCTCTTTTAACTTTGAGTCTCAGATATTTTGTCTCCGCAATGAGAAAAATAACTAGGACATCGCTCCTTCCTCAATTTCTCTGGGCACTTATCTTACAGGGTTGATATGAGATCATATAATTAGTACCTAAGATGACACAAAAGATCATATGATCAAAGTCAACTGGCTAGAATAGAGATCTTAACGCACTGTCAAACTTTACTAATAGTTTCAGTGAACCAAGCAATTGCAAGGCTTTGGTGAAGCAGGGAGTGGCTAGGATTAATGCAGCCCTGTGGTACTGTCATACCACATCAAGATAATCCTGCCCAGATTATATATGTGGTCACATCACCAACACAGAACAGACCACCATGAAATGTCTTCAATTTACTCCACTAAATAACTTACGCGACCTTTTCCCAGGGCCCATGCTCAATATATCCATAGATTTCAGATTTGTTATAAACCAGCAACTTAGGCAGGCTAAGTACTTTTTTCTAAAAGAACTCCATAGATAAAAACTCTGCACAGAAGAATATCGTTAGTGTGCCTACCTAGAGTTCTGCCGATCACTTGAGAATTGGAATGGATTTCTCCTTCCTTGGTAGAGACAGAGAATGGATCATAAGCATTTCCTGCTCAGCATCTAACTCAGAATAAGATTTGACATACAGCAGCTTTCATCACCTTATTAGACATAACAGTGAGAACAGGACTCTACTTTCATTTTCATTTCTGCCTGACTTTCAGATCTTGCACAGTCTAGCCCGTTTGTCTCCAGACAGCACCACCAGTAAGCCTCATTTCCCTAATTATGTATGATTCTAAACTCTGCCCTTTCTTCTCTTGTTCTCCCATCTGAATACTAACTAGATATGCCCCTGCTGAGTTTAGGAGATCCGACAAGATCGGGAATGTTCAGTGTGGTCAGTACACAAGCTTTCCCCTTGTCTCTTCCGCTGATCTACCCATCTTTTGAGGACAATCTAAGTGCCCTTTCCTCTTGGAAAACTTTCAAGTCTACTTAGGACCTCATCCAGTTCATGCCTTCCTACCCTCTGTAATCTGGGATCTAACACAGAATCTCGTGTATCTTACATTGTGCTGTTTCTGATGTTTTCCATCCACGGTAGTCTTCTTTCTCTAAATGTATTCTAAGCCTCATTACAGCTGAGAACTCTAACTTCATGCATGCACCAGGAAGCACCCCGTGATTCACTTCCTAACAGTCACCTTTATGACGTTGGACCTATGAGCACCTCACTTCGCTAGTGCTTGATTTAATTGTTGTCTTTCTTTATAGGCAGCCGACACCAGGAAGGCAGGATCATATCTCTCTTGCTCATTATTATTTTGTGTCTGACAGAGCACCCACCTGGAAAGGGGTAGAAATAAATATTTGCTGAAGGTTTTCTAGTGGTAAAACTCAGTGGAGTGAGGAAGCTCATTAATTTATATGATGAACATATGGAGTGTTTACTCCAGGTACTTAGGAGGCATGGCATGATTTCAGTCATCCAATCTTTGAAATGGAAAAACTTTAGGCAATCCTTTCGCACCACTAGTCGGGTCTCCAGGTATGTACAAAAGAATTGTGCTGACAAAATCAAAACCAGATCCCATTACTCAAACCTATTAATTTAATGACAGAAAAGGAGAAAATAAGGGAAATGCAGCCCTATAGAGCTGTGGTTGTTCTTCAAAACACTTCCTCCCCCATTGCCTCCTCTTCTTTCAGAAAGCCACAATACAAGCTTTGGTATATTAGTGATTTTTCCATTGCTGAGACAAAATACCCAACACCCACAACATAAGGGAGGGTAAACTTGTTTTGGTTCACAGTTTCAGAGAGATCTTTCCTTTCCGTGGCAGGATAGTACTAAGGCAGACATCATGGTGGAAGACCTTGGCAGAGGAAAGCCAGGGTGTCCAGGAAGCAGAGAGAGAACTCAGGAACAATAATACAGCCTTCCAGTAATGCCCTTGGGGCTCACCTTTTCTGACCAGATCCTACTTCATAACAACACATTGAGCTAGGAACTCATGAATGGATTAACCCACTGATGAGTATAATGCTCTTGTGATTCAATAAACTTCCAAAAGCTCCATCTCTGAACATATGACAGTTTGAAAGGACATTTTAGATGTAAATCATAACACCATGGACCAATTCATACAGAAAGCAATTCTTTTATCTTGAGTTTAAATTCAGTAGCTAGTATATCCTTCTCTTGTCCCCACCTCCCTGTTCCTTGTGGGCAGTCCTACATTTATGTATGTCCATGGTAGGATACATCTTTGGAAATTTTCTTTTTTTCTTTTAATAATAAAATAGCAATACCATTCCAGCTTGTTTGTACCAAATTCTGGCCACGAAGACAACAAGTTCAAAGCTGCATGTTAATTAACTATAATATTTAAACCAGAGAATATTATATGCTAACTTTAGCCTTCTTCATTTCACCTCATTTAATCAAACACATCACATTTTTATTGCTTTTTCTTGTTGATGTACTTCTCACGAGTTTGGTACAAAATGAGTCCATTTCTTCATCCTAGAAACAAGAGGGATGATGAATTTGGTGTTTATTAGACACCAAATTAGAAGCTAAAGAGAAACTGGTAGACCAATCTTTCAGCTTCTTAGAGCAGGGGTTGAGAGTATGGAATGGGCCTCTGTACTGATTCACCAACACTATTTTCTCAGGCATGGACCCCACACTCTCTCCACACCTCCCTCTTTCCTTTGTTCCTTCCCTGCCCTTCCACCCATCCCGGCTCCCCTACCTCCTTTCTTCCTTCCTTCATTCCCTTCTTCCCTCTTTCCTCCCTCTCTTCTCTCCTTGCTTTCCTTCCCTCCTGTATTTCCTTGCTATTTCCCATCCTCCTGTCCTGTGCGTGTGTGTGTGTGTGTGTGTGTGTGTGTGTGCCAAATAATTATGTCATGCATCTCATCAGGACCAGCGTCATCAGCAAACTTTGGCCATACATCAAATTATTGATTCTTTCAAGGCAAACTGCTGGATGCTTCTTTTTTCCCAATTACATAGTTCCTCCTACTAATGTTCCTCTCTTTTGCCCCCTGGGAGGTCACCTCCATGGCCATTAGTGATCTCTTCAAAGTCTTTTCCTATGCCTTGTCTTTCTTAGTGGCCGTATGCTAGTAACTACTTGTCTGCCCTTCTACTAAACTGGAGCTCTTTGAAGGCAGGGTCTGTGTCATTTATCTTAGCATTGTCAGTGCCTTTAAAAGGGCTCCACATGGTGGATGTTGTTTGAATTTAATGAATACATTGAAACAATGTTGAGTAAGGGAAGAAACACTTGTGGGGAGGCTCAAAAAGAAGTGATTTTGTGATTCAGATTTGAGCCTTTGATTCATCTGTGTTGGAGTACAAATGGTAAGGAATCCTCTAGGCAATAACACCCTACCCTATGGAGTGAGGGTCAGGGAGAAGCAGTAACAGAAAAGGACAGTAGAAATTTTAGTGGAGCTTTATGGAGTCTCTGGAGACGGTTGGACAAGAAAAATTTTGTGGGAACAAAAGTAAATAAAAAAACTCCAACTGGTTTCAATTAAGCCAATGTAACCCCTTCCCACCTTTCGGAATTCAGCTCATACTTCCCTTTTCTACCATTCAGAGCTCTGATCAGTGATCCCAGATAGAAATCTATTTTACAGATATATTTTAATAGTGTCCCTAATGCACCTACTTAGATTAAAAATGAAGCAAAAAGAATTGCAATTTGTTGAGAGGGCCCTTCTCCCCTCACCCTATCTGTTTATAGGATTCTGAAACCCAGAAGGACACTTGACTAAGGTGTTCTGAGAGTTGTAAACATTAGGAAACTAGAACCCCAAAATTCTGGGGAGAGAACAGAGTCCTGAACATTCCTTCTCCCTGACGTGCCCATGAATCAGAGACAGCTGGATTCCAAAAAGGGATGGAACAACCACCAGTCAAGGCCAGCTTGGAGTGGGAGAAATATCTGTCTTGTATGGTAAGCTCAACTGTGCAGTTCCTGAAACCACCAGCCTGTCCTGTTTCCCGGTTTGCACAGTCTAAACTACAGAGATGGTAGAACAAACTCAAATGTCTTATTTTTTTTAGTGTCCCATTGGGCACAGTTTTAGCCTTGGGCACCTGGCTGTCTAAGATAACCCCTTAGTTCATCCTTAGAGGCAAACATTTACCTGATGAAGAAGCAGTTTGCATAAGCATGTAAAATTCCTAAGAGGAAGGACACATTTTTATTTGACACAAACCATTATGACTGATATACAGAAAGTGAACTGGAAGATTTCAGTGGGTGTTGTTTGCTTTCTCTGCGATACACTCAATTTCTCATCAGAAGCTTTAGTGGACTTGCAGGTAGCTGTTTAGCATGAAATTTTCCATAATTCTCTCTCCCTCCTAGAAAGGCAGCTGTATTATTAAAAGCAATATGGCAATACACTTGATGAATCTCTACCTTGTGACAGTTCTGTACCAAAGCTCTTTCCAGGAGTTACTTCTGTATTAGTCTGCTAGGGCTGCCATAACAACACACCGCTGACTGGCAACTTGAACAATGAAAGTTTGTTTTCTCACAGTTGTGGACGCAAGAAGTCCCAAATTAAGGTATAGTAAAATTCAGTTTCTGGTGAGGCCCCTCTTCCTGGCTGACGGACAGCTGCTTCTTGATGTGTCATTCAGCCTTTCCGCTGTGCACACCAAGGGAAGAAGAGTAGTGGAGGGAAGGAGATTTGGTATCGTGTCTCTCCCTCTCCTGTTTAAAGAACAGCAATCCTATTAGACTAAGGCTCCATCCTCATGGTTCCGTGTTAATTTGATTATCTCCATATAGATCCTAATTTCAGTCCCACTGGAAGTCAGAGCTCCAAACATGTTAAGGTGTACAATTCAGTGTATAATAATCTCACCAGGGCTGGGGATTTAGCTCAGTGGTGCTGTGCCTGCCTTGTAAGTGCAAGATCCTGACTTTGATTCCTGGGACCACCAAAAATAAAAATACAATAAAATAAAGGTTTAAAAAACTTGCCAGTTTTACCTCAGGGTGCTGCTGCCTGCCTCACAAGCACAAGGTCCTGAGTTTGACCCCCCCCCAGTACCATGTAATAAATAAATAAACAACAATAATAATAGCAATCATCATCATCATCATCATCATCATCATCATCATCATCATCATCATCATCATCTCACCCAGTCTTGGCTACAAGCTCAGGAAGTCAAGGGCCTCTTTATACTTTATCGATGAATACACAGAGTTGGGTAATTTATGCAGTGTCTCACTGCTCGTAAGTAAATTGTCACTGGTGTTGCTTTTTTATTTTCATAGAAGAGAAGTGGAGATGTGCAGTGCTCACTTGAAAACATGCAGGGCTGTTCATAGAAACATCAAAAGAGAGCTGGCAAGTGAAATCTAGAGCAGGGTCCTGAGCCTATTGCCATTCTGTCCACCGAAGTCCCAGGTCACTTGTTTCAATTCTTAAGAAAAGCTCCAGGAGCTCACCTGCTCAGCCTCAGTAAAGGGGGTTTTCTTTTCTAGGTCCTGATTTGGATAAAACTGACAAATAATAAAGTGTCTCCGTCCTCCTCTAAGAGACACTTTGCTCTCTATTTGGTGCCATCTCCAGCCTGGCAGGTGGTGCCTCAGCTCACTCAGGGTCTTCTCTGGCAGTGATCCACCTCTTAGTAGCATTCCCGCATCTCCATCCCGTGGTCCAGAACTTCCTTGATCTGTCTTCCATTAAAACGTCTTGGTTCCAATCCCCATTCCTTTGACGCAAGTCTCTCAGCTAGGAAAGGAAAGGTTGTAGTTCACTGTTTGCTTTTCTAAGTAATTCACTGATGTTTCACTGGTGGTCTCTGAAGACTGGTGACTTATGGCACAAATTTTAGGCACCATAGCAGGAAGTGTGGTGGAAATTTTCTGATGGCAGGCAGGCTTGTCACCCTTGTCAAACCCACAGGGAGTGAAACACCATCAATCCCGGGCTTTCCAAAAAACAAGGCTGATACAACACAGAATTGTGCTAATGGGTGCAACATAGATCCTGCCAATATTTCACTCATATCCCTTCAGGCCTGACATTTCGGAATGCGAAAGGTCCCACGGCTCTGTTCACTTGCCAATAACATCCCTAAGAGTAACCTTTAACCGATGTCCCTCA